AGGAGAGGAAAAAATAGTATTTTATTATTATATTATTATTAATTAAATATTATTATTATTATATTTGTCAAGCCCTGTCTCAGTATATTTGCTCTAACACTGGCCAGAGGAAAAAGGCAACAAGATTTAGTAACTTAAAACCATCTCCCATCCAGGCTGCTGTGTCCAGTTTTGAAGAAATGGCTCCAAGGACAACATTTAAGCCTGTCATCGGGGACTCCTCAGTAGATCCTAAAAGGTAACTTCCCTTTCCTGCAGGAAAGCCCGAAAATTAAATCCTGCCTTTTGCTAGCTAACAGCTCAGTTTTGAGGTGATGTGAAAAATAGGACATCTGGGGGGAAGAGGCATCTGTAGAGTGACTGATATGGTGTTTTATTTGTTTCTAAACAGCAAATCCTCTCTCTTTTTTCCTCTGTTTGCTTCTTATTAGTTATATAATATCTGGGTGCATGACAGTTGAGTATTTGGGCCATTAAACCTGGCTCCCAAGGGTAAGAACGTGACCTTTGTAGTCCCAGTAGCACCAAGGTCTGACAGCATGCTTAATGGTCACATCCTCACCCTAATTAGAAGGCTGTAAATGTCTTTGCATCTTGTATTTCTAAATGAGGTGGCGAGAGACAGAGTGAGGTTTCTCTTCTTGCCTTTGTCCATTAAGGTTAGGCCACCAAGCCCTCCTTTGTAGCTGGAGAGAATGGATTCTCTCCGGGAGTCCCTCCCTGGGGTGGGAGAGAAGGTGTCCTCTGGTCGTGCTCTTCTCTCCCTCTGGTTCACTCTCTGCAGAAAAGATAACCAGCTTTTAGACTACATGTTTAGCTTTTAGAGAGTAAAAGCTAGAAGAGTTTGAATCCCACTGAATATAATTTCTCCAGGTTTGCTGAGGAAACAGAACCTCTGGGCCCTGGAGCACTGTGCTCAGAAGTTCATTTATCAACTCTGGGCAAGAAGGAAAGGTAGGGCAAAGAAGAAAGGGATGCTCGAGGGTGTCAGATTAGCTCCATAAAACTGTCTTTAAAGGATGGTTGTTTTTTGTTTGAAGAATAGGACTGTTTTGCACAGAATTTCTGTAAAACAGTAAACATGCAGGCATTTCTGTTTTTTTCTCAGGGTCACCCAAGTGGTTCTGTGTTCTGGAAAACATTACTATGCTTTGGTAAAACAGAGGGAGACATTAGGAGAGAAACAACACAGCACAGCTATTGTGAGACTTGAAGAACTCTGTCCTTTCCCCCTGGAAGCCCTACAGCTGGAGCTGAGCAAATACAGCCGTGCCAAAGGTCAGACAGACTTTTGCCTTCAACTTTACCTCCTTTCCCCCATACATTTAGTGTTCCTATGTTTACCCCTTGTGCTAAAAGAACTTGTATGGGCACTGTTGTTAACATCTGTGAACTGCTACTAAAAATCAGAGCAAACCTATTGGGGCATTTTTGCGTTGATCTCTGCTGTCTAGTCCTTTAAAATGGAGAGCCAGAGAAAGTAGCTTCTGAAAACAGAAGGAAAAAAGAGTATGCCCACCCTATGCCCTCATGATGGTCATACTTTTTGGTTTGGCTGCAGCAAACTATGACTTGCAAAGGAATGTAACTCCATGAGCCTTTGTTTCAAAGTTGGTGCCAGTAAATCAAAATAGATAAAAGAACTCAGAGGTGCCACACAAGTTGGTTTTCTTGAGCTGCTGAAAATACAAATGTGTTTGTAATGTGCCCTTATCCTTTCTTTAGACTTTATTTGGAGTCAGGAAGAACCACAGAACATGGGTCCATGGTCCTTTGTGTCGCCACGGTTTGAAAAGCAGCTGGCAGTTAAGGTAAGATGTCCACTTGGTGCTTTACTATTTGAACTGCAGTTTGATATTCTCTTCTTTAACTGAAATTCTGTGGTACAGACATATAAAACTAATGCTAATGCCTACACCAAAATTGTGTTGTAATTTAAATTACTTGAGCTTCTTATAGCGCCATTTACTGGTGATGAACAGCCCAGGAGCTTCCTTTCACTAGGTGTTTAGTCTGAAAGTAAAAATTAGTCTCAGTAGATGGGATGAACTAAGATCCCAGGTAGGAGATAACACACATGAGGTGACACATGTAGGAGGAGAACCCAAAGCTGCTGTTCTCTGTGGCAGACTGCAGTATACAAACATCTCTTTGGGAGAAGGAGGATAACTCCGGACTTATTCCAGCTTGACCAATGTCTGACAGTCAGTATCAGCATGACACACACAACACACAGAATCCCAGGATGGCTGAGGTTGGAAGGGACCTCTAGAGATCATCTAGTCCAACCCCCTGCTCCAGCAGGGACACCCAGAGCACGTGGCACAGGGTGGCATCCAGGCGGGTTTGGAAGATCTCCAAAGAAGGAGACTCCACAGCCTCTCTGGGCAGCCTGTGCCAGGGCTCTGGCACCCTCACAGGAAAGAAGTTCTTCCTCACATGGAGATAATCCTGTGTTTGTGCTTAATTAATCATTTCCTCCTGACTCTGATTTCAGCTCCATCTTGTGAGCAGACCTCCTTTACCAGCCCCAGCAGTTGGCATTGGAACCCTGCACCAGCAGCAGCAGGAGGACATTCTTACCAACACATTTGTCTAAGGGCTTTCAACGGACAGACAAACTGCTTCCACTGTGGGTCAAGTTTGTTACCTTCTCCTGCAAAGAAGAACAAAAGCCAGACTCTTAATCTCCGAGACAGGAACAAATTTTACAATGATGAACCAATCTTTACATGTGGGGATACACGAGGATGACAGCTGATGCCTGTTACTCTAGATATTTCTTGTTGTCCTCTTGTATTTTCTATAGAAGATCTTTTTAAAAGAAAAAATCCAGTCCAGCGCAGATCACTGAGGTAGCTCTAGAATACCCTGGGTTAGGGTGCTTCCCTGCACTTGGCAGCTCGCTGGGATGGTGCATGTGTGGAAATGGTGTCTCGTTTCCACAGAGTGGAATGGTGTGGAGTTTTCACAGAGCTAGTGCTGTTTGAATAAATGCTGCTCCCTGCCTGGGAATGAGCCATTTCTGTGGCATTGTCGTGGGGTTCTCGTTTCTTTTCCTGGGGACCAAGGATTAAATCTGATGTGGCTGTTGGTGCTCTTCTCAAGGCATGTTCTAAAGGGAGCAAGAGTTGCTAAAGCAGTTTTCCTGGGAAAGCCTGCCAGGAGAGACCTTGAAGGCTTTGAGTACCACTATTTCTCCGGCCTGGAGAAGCAGCACCTTCACAGTAAGCTTGCAAGCTGGGAGACTTGCTGCAGTATGGAACAAACTGGTTTTTGGAGGCTCGCCTGAAAAGTGGTTCCATCTCCTGCCTAAGAAAACTAATTCTAAGTTTCCCTCCTGCAGTTTGTTATTTAACTCTCAAACGGCAGTGCTGATCTAGTCCGTTGGTCTAGTCTTCTGTGTTGACAAGGATTTTGTAACTCTCTTTGGCTCTATCAGTGAAAAATGCATTTAAGAGACCATTTCTTTTCCAGTCCCAGGCAGCTGTGCTGTTTCACCATTTCGTGTGGATGCGACCTGTTTCCAAAGGTTTCTTTTGCTCACTTCCTTCCTTCAGTGGTCCCTAGTGCCCACACAAATTCTTGCTCATGCTGCAGGAAGGCTTAAGTCATGACCAAGTAAGAGAAACAGGGTCTTGAAGGCGCAACGAGGCTGCAAAGAGTTTGAGCGACAACTTTCCCAAAAGTGTAATAATGAGGAGGAGTTTGTGGTTTCTTGGTAGGTTCCTGAGCCAGAACTCTTTGTTGCACTGTAGGTATCAGAGGCTGCCTTGAAAAGGACTGTTAATAACAAGAGATTATAGACCAAATCTGTGAAATAAACAGCAGGAAATGACAGAACATGAAGGTTTTTTGAAGGGCCTGAAGCATGATACAGCTGTTTGAAACACTTGCAGAAGTTCTCAAAGTGCCGACCATGTACAAACATGATCCTTTTTTTCTACCACTGTAGCGTGTTTCTAAATTTTGTGAGAAAATGTGTTGGTTTGCAAACCAATATGTATTTTGATAACAGTAAGCTTTATTAGTGTTCTTTAAAAAAGCATATATAGAATTAAACTATGATCAGGTATTTAAACCCTGGTATCCTACAGTGATTTGAAAGATTCCCTTTGAAACATTCCAGACTTGATCTAAAGTAGGATGGACTTAGTCCCAGCTTCCAGCAGTCCTGTCCAGTGGGTGAAGCTGTCTGTGCTATGAAATCCATCTTCCTACATGACCTGCTGTCACCTCTTTCAAACTGACATGCTAAAAGGTAGTTCAGTTCCTTCTCCTTCAACCTAAACCTGAGCTTTCCAGGCCCTAGAATGGGTCAGGCTTGAGAATCTAGTTTAGATTCTCAAGTTTACAGGGCCTCTGGAGGGCCCTCCGGAGATCTGTGGGACAAGCTCGTGCTGCAAGCAGGCCCTGTTGGAGCAGGTTCTACGGAGACTTTAACTGTCCGGTTTGGAGCAGCTCCGGGTGTGGAGATTGCCCTGCCTCTCTCGGCCCCTGTTCTATTTGACCACCCTCCTGGTGAAAATTCCTTTCCTCATTAAACCCTCATGCTCTCCAGAGGGCCCTTGTGGTGGCTGCAGACCACCGAGGCTGCAGAGGTAACTGGAGAGCCTGGGATGTCGGTGAGGATGGAGCTCTGTGTCCCGTGCAGCAGCCCAGGGCTCTGTCCTCCTGGGGTCTGCCTTAGGAGCGGGACCAGGGCGACCGGGATCGGGACTGGCACCGGGGCCGGGACACGCTGGGGCTGGCAGCGAGCCGAGGGGCGGAGCTTCTG